GAGTATGAGTACCCCCCCCCCCCTCCCCTTTCGGCTTTACCCCCCTACACCCCATAACACCGTGCCCCTACGTCGATACTGTAGGTACGGGTCGTACGGAATGTCCTTGCCGATCGACTACGACCCGGCACAAGCTTGCATGTTGGAGAGGGGATGGGTGTTGGCGTTTGCTCACGTGAGGGGGGGAGGGGAGCGAGGCAAAGCCTGGCACTCTGGTGGGCGGGGATTGGACAAGTGGAACAGCTTCTGGGACTTTGAGGTGCGCAACCGAAATCGTGGCACGCAGTTTTCTGATTGGTCAAAAGAGGGAAAACAAAAATCACCGCCAAACAGTGGGTAGTGAAACCTCTTTCTGCTCCCTTGAGTAAATAGATTCAAGGAGTAGAACATGACGCCATTTACACCAAAGATACTGGTACATACGGGCCCGGAATGCGGTCTGCGATGCTCGTCTTTGGAACAACGCGCGTGTAGAGTGCCGCCCCCTTCGAGTCAGTCGCGATGTAGATCTCACCCTTGTAGTGGGGTCCACCATATCTGGTCTGTTATCACTTCTCTGTTGTCGGCGGCGAAGTGCGATCTTCTCTGTGCTTGAAGAGGCATGAAAATGCACCGTCGTGAGCGTTTTCTCGCCCGCATGCCCCACTGCCTTGTATCTTGGGGCAGGCGTGTGCGGAGCACCTTGTGTCCGGGGGGTTCACCAGCCCCTCGCTCATGGGCGCTCAGGTGAACAGCGCTGGCGGTCTGCTTGCGGGGGTGATGGCCAACCATAGACCCGGCTTGTTCTCGGCGATGGTCATGAAGGTGTGCTAGGGTGGGGGAGGGATAAGGAAAAGGAGGAGAGAACGATCAAAACGGGGAGAGTTAGTTACAGGGGGCTAGATACGCGAGAGATTAAGGGGGGAAAAAAGTGGTAGTCAGGAAGACTCCCCTCGTGTGTTTGCGTTGCCGCAGGAAATCGCTTGAGTAGGGGTGCCGGGCACTTCCCCGTTTGGAAGATATCCACAGGATTGATACCTCCCGTAGGTTGCGTATGATACCACACCCGCTGGACCGAATTTCAAAGTCGTACTACCCTGCATCACAATAGTGACTGCGCCGAAAATGGCGGCGTTGGAAACCCCCTCGTCAAGGTATTTCCAAAAACGTAGATACCATATTTTGATGTTGACGTCCTCTTGGTCCTGGAGCAATCGAGCTGTGTAACGTCAGTCTAGGGGGGGTGCCATCTCTCCGACTCTTACGGAATACCACGGTACGGTATACGGTACGGTACAGGCAGTCTTGGTCGTGGAGCAATGGAGCTTTGAAATCGGACCAGGGGTGTGTGATAGCTATCTTAAGCAACCTGCGACACCCGCGCGCGCCACACTCGACCCCCCCCGTGCTCGACCCAGGCCCCGTTTTTGGGGGTGCTCTCCGCCATGCGTGACAGCTCTCTGCCGCTCACCGTCCACGAGTTCGACGAGTGGGGCGATCCCAACAGCAGCGCCGAGGTCGAGGCGATGATTCGGTCGTACTGCCCGTACGAGAACGTCGTGGAGCAGGAGTATCCGGCGCTGCTGGTGACCACTTCTCTCAACGACAACAGGTGCGGGCCTCACAGTTGAGAGAGGAGAGCGGGGTGGTGGGAGGGGAGGGGCATTGCGGGGCACATGCTTGTAAGCGCATCCGCGCGCCAAGCATTCGCTATTATGTTGGGACTGCTGGTAGGCGTGCACTTACCCGTCTTCCAGCGATGCGATCTCTTTCGCCCAGACTCTGCTAGTAGAAGGATTGGAAACAACAGGGATAGCAGCCGTAGCACGTCGGGGATTTGTCGTTATTGTGTACTTTTTTTTGTAGCGGCAGTGGTTCCACGGCGCAATAGGCTCTCCGGGAACTCGCCCTCTCTTTCCAGTCCATTGCCCGGTTCCAGAACGGTGGCTCTAGAACGGTGCACACGGCGTTCACCGTTACAAAGTGCTGGCCAGAACCAGCTCATGTTGTAACCGCTGGCACGCAGGCTAGGGAGAAACGATTCGGGTACCAAAGGGGTGTGAAATAACGGGGGTCATTGATCCACCTGGGTTGTTCTGGAACAATCACCGCAAGACGGCCTCCCGCCCCACCTCTCCTTGTCCCTCTCCCTCTCTCTGTCGCTCAATTTCTGTCTTATGTGTGTGTGTCTCTCTCTGTCCTTGTGTATGTCTGTGCATTTGCCGTCTGTCCTCTGCAAAAAAGGGTCAATGTTTGGGATCCGGCCAAGTGGGTTTCGAGGGTCCGCGCCGCAAACACCGGACAATCTCCCGTGCTGCTCCGGGTCAGCGAGAGCGATGGCCACCACGGCCCGGGCAACACCTTGGATGGCCTCAAGGACTCCGCGCTGGAGATGGCGTTCTTGGAGAAGCATCTCAAAGTCTACTAGGGGGGAGGGGGTGGGGGGATCCGCACTGTAGAAGGCGTGGTGTTGGAAGTATCTCCAAGTCTTTCACGTGAGGGGGGAACTCCGCACTAGAGCAGGCATTCTCCGAGAAGAACCTGAAAGTTTGCTCGGGGGAGCAGGGCGCGCCCAAATGCGACTTGCCTTGGTCATGTATCGCTCAACAGAAGTCGACTAGAGGGCAACTTGGGTCGAGGGAGGTTGCTCCCCCTGCGACACATGGTACAAATATGCAGACAAACAGGAGCTGCTTAACGTAGACCTACCTGGTGTCATCAGCGGTGATGGTCACTAAAGAGCGTTAGCTATCGCGCTTCCCGAGCTGAAAAAAGCCTCAAGGGGTGAAGTGGCGCCGGTGTGCCTACAAGTGCTCTTTCTCCCATTCCTCGAAACGCCTAAAAAGGCCAGATTCTAGATTCTAGATAAACCTTCCGCAGAAGTCGACTAGGGGGCATATTGGGTCGAGGGAGGTTGTTCCCCCTGCGACACATGGTACAATTATGCAGACAAACAGGAGCTGCTTGACGTAGACCTACCTGGTGTCATCAGCGGTGATGGTCACTAAAGAGCGTTAGCTATCGCGCTTCCCGAGCTGAAAAAAGCCTCAAGGGGTGAAGTGGCGCCGGTGTGCCTACAAGTGCTCTTTCTCCCATTCCTCGAAACGCCTAAAAAGGCCAGATTCTAGATTCTAGATAAACCTTCCGCATGCTCTTCGCGATTGTAACCGAAAGCCGACAACGGTACCCGTCACGCCTCCTTAAGTTTTACGTCGACACAACAACAACAGGGGCGAGGGATAATGGGCTCGACGACATCCAGCACGGCTTCTACAACAAGGACCTTGAACTCGTCTAACGTTCGGGGGGGGTGGAATAGGGGACAATTGATCGGCGCAACACACCACGCTAATCGCTTACGTCCACCTCACACGCGCTTTCCACCCATCCCCGACCTTCACAACAGCGGCCGAAACAATCAACACCAAAAGTGGCACCTCTTTCTAGAAAAACACAAACCCTTACTTGAAGACAACAGCGGGCCAACAAGAAAAGGAACGAACCCGGCAAATCGAACAAGTAAAGCGATGCCCTACACATGTCGCCCCGACCCCCCAAATCACCCAGCAAAAAATCCCCGTACGTGCGTACACCGCTGCTTCCTTGTTTGGCTTCACAAGGGGGTGGATGGTCTCCGCTCTTTCTGCATTTTTTTGCCCTGACCTGGTCCAACAATTACCCTCATCGTACACCACTCAACCACTCAACCACTCACCCACCCTCCTCGGTCTGGTGATAGGTAACTCAGACAGACGGACTGACAGCAGTGGTGCAGAACTCTATACACACCGACAAGACAGGTAAATAAAAAAAAAGAAAGAACAAAAAACAGCAGCAGCAGCAGCAGCACGGCTGCAAAGGCGTCGTCTTGTCCTTCTCCGAAAATTATCGTCGCCAAGAAGGTTGACTCACCTCCCCCCTCATGCCGCACAACAAAACGAGGAAGGTGTGTCCTCCTGACAGCGTTATTCCCATCGTGGCCTTACTCCGGTAGCGGGAGGCACGACGCAGCTCTTGGACTCCTCCGATGGGATTGGGATGAGGACGAGGTTTGCACACGACCTTCTCTTTACCTCCTTCGAAACGTGACGCCCTTCTCCAAACAATTTGCTGTGTAAGCGAGTACTTTTGATTCTAGCTGGAGGGGGGGGGGGGGGGGGGGGGNGGGGGGGGGGGCAGCAATAGTGCGCCATCCACCTGACCCATCAAGGCCAGGGAACAATGGACTATGCAAAGGCGGCACACTCTCTATTTAGTTATAGGGTGCCTGCATCTTCCGTCTATTTTTTGCCTTTTCTAAACTCGACATCGACTGGCCCGCGGCGGCTCGAAGGTCCTTCTCGTTGCTACATGTCCAATGGATCCAACTGCCGCCGCTCGGACGTGCTTGATTGGCCACTCTCGCCGCGCACGAAAAAACCTCAAAATGTGTGTCTTACATGTACGCGGCAACCCTTGAACCTTCAACGTCCCTCTACAACCTCGGATCAGCAAATAAATACCGGCCGCTGCTTGGTCTGAAAAGCCACGACCGAACTGTCATCCAGCCCAACCCCGGACAACACGAAGCACACCGTCTGAAGCGCAATCAGAGCGCACCTCCGGCACTTACTTCCTCTCAAACAAAACAACAAACACTGATCGCTTCCCGCCCCCCACCGAACGACTCAAAAGTGCAATAGGGGGCGGGGGCGGTAACAGGTGGCCGGCTGCGTGGCCCCGTCGCCGCTTCCAAGCACGACTACTTGCTGCCCGTCACAGCTCCGTGTCTGCCTCGTTTCCGCTCAGGTAACGGCCGGGGGTACCGCTGCCGTCGCCACTGCCGCCGCCCGTGCGGCCGCCGTCACCACTAGCCCAGCCCTCGCCCGCCCACGACACTGCGTCCTCGTCTCCCAAAAGCATGAGTCGCTCGTCCGGGACCGCGGCGGTGAGGTTGAACAAGTCTTCCGACGGTTCCTGCTGCTGCTGCGGCTGCTGCTGATGATGGTGATCACCCTCCACCGCCGCCCTCACTACGTCGCCTTCGGCAAGCCCTCCAGCTACAGCAGCCGATTCCAAGTGCCCACTCCTGCCACCGCTACCGCTACCGTTGGCGCCATCCTTTCCCCCGTTGACACCGCCACTATCAACAGCGGTGCTGCTCTTGTGGCTGCTGTTCAACCTTCTCCTGCCGCCCCCGCCGCCGGCGCCCACTTCGCCGGAGCCCCCCTGCTGGTGCTTGTGATGCCTCCGGCTGGAGGAGCGCTTAGACCTCGACTTGCTGCTGCGCCCCCCGCCCCCGCCCCCGCCCCCTCCCCCGCCCCCGCTCGCCAACGAAGAATTGTTGCTGCTGATGGTGGTGTAACCCCAAGCCCCGTCGGCGTAGGGAAACGACGACAGAGACAGAGGCGTGGTGCCCGATCCCCCCGACCTGCTGCTGGACTTGCCGGACTTGTGGCGGTGGTGCTGTGTGTGCCTCGAGCCCCCCTTTGACCTACTGCCGGTGTCGGTGACCGGCGTCATGAGGGGTGCGGCACCATGGTCTTCCTGGTAGCGTGGCAGAGGAGTTTCAACCGGGCGGCGGGATACGTGTAGGGGGGGTGGGGGGGGGGGGGGGGGGGGGGGGGGGNGGGGGGGGGGGGGGGGGGGGGGGGGGGGGGGGGGGGGGGGGGGGGGGGGGGGGGTCGCTGAGGCTGCGTGGCATAATCAATCAAGACTAAGAGCAAAGGACTCGGGATTATGAACGGTTTCATACAGGGGATACAGGCAAACCCCAACAGCAAACACCACACCACAAAACGCCGCACGCCGCGGGCTCAAGGCAAGACATTTGCGTGCATGCCACCAACGTTGCAGCCGCCATTTACCCCCGTACTACCCCGTATGTACGAAGAGATGGCTACGCTAGCAGTAACCGCCAGATGACTATTCGAAACGTCGACACAACCGGTCTCGCGGGCCTACCAGGGACCTCGATCCTCCGTCCGGGTTCGGCGGGGCCCCTCCTATCGTCTCCAGCAGGGCCGTGGACACGTCCACGATCTCTCGGAAGTCTGGCCTCTTTTGGGGGTCCTCCTGCCAGCACTTGACCATGAGGTTGCTCCAAGGGCAGCCTTCCGCCACAAGAAAAAAAAATGGAGGGTTTTTGTTCAGGAGGTGTGGGGGGAAACATAAGAGAGGAGCACAATCTGAGCCGCAACAAGGACAGTCATGCGAAAATCTTGCACGAAATTATTGCTCCCGTGAATTACTTCGAATCATGACGTAGAACGAACGCAGAACCGACTACAAGCAAGGCTGTCAACGCTTTCCGCACGCGAGAAAATCAAGGGTCAATGCTGCAAAAGGCCCGGGCATGAGGAGGGAGGACTCATAGCTTGGGTTAGCCACGGTCGTTCTGTAGTGACAGGAGACTACCCGTTTTACCCTGACAAGAGCCGTTTCATCGCGTTCAACCCGCATCGCATTACCCACGAAAAATTAAAAAGGGGAATTATATAACCGCCGCACCCCGCACGCAACACATCGTTCACAGACACTGCCACAGCAAGTAAAAAAAACTACAACCTGGCAGATGAGTGTGAGGCTGGTTCTTTTCGTCATTCTTACCTCGGGGAGCCTTTGGACGAAGCCCTTGGTTGGCCACGCGGTCAATAATCTGAGCCGCTGACAGCCCAGAGTACACCTTGGAAGGCGTGAACGGGTGGAAGAGGGCCGGGGGGGTCGGGGGCTCAAGAATAAGACATTTGCATTATCCAAGGGAGGAACAGCAAATTCAGCAGCGCGATCGTTGTTGGGGAGGGCCGGGGAGCGAAAGAACGACAATCTCTGACCCAAACAGAAAGCGGAAACGTTCACGACCACGGGGGAGTTTAAACAGCTAGAGTGAGAGCGTGCTTCTTCCCTCTGTGTTCGATGAACAACGCAGAGTAAAATGACAACGGCGTTTAGAGGTGTGTATATCCGCCACCCTCCAAGTCGGTTTCTTCTCGCCGAAATAACCCTGCGCTAGCTAGCTTAAAGCACCCAGTCTCAAACGGCGAAATGGGGGAATATGGCCCAACGTTGGCTTTACGGCCAATGCAAAAGGAAGCGGGACACCCAGACAGAGGATATAGGGGGGGGGTCTCCGGAGGACTGACTATTATAGCCGCACCTGTTCCCGAGTGGCCAGCTCCCACAGCAGTATCCCGAAGGCGTACACGTCGGCCTTCTCACTGCTCTTGGCGTCCTTGATCACCTGGCCATCCATGTTCACGATGCACACACGGACGGGGCAGAAGCAGTGGTGCACGCGCAAAACGTGGTCAAATGTTCCTTGTAACAAGCACGCACACACTCAAGTATGCCGCCGTGTACTGTGTGCGCCACTGGTACCCCGCATGACGGTGGTACCGGTCACCAGCCGGGCACATTTCGCGAAGGGGGTGGTGATACAATCGGGGG